AGAAAGAGAGAGAGAGAGAGAGAGAGAGAGAGAGAGAGAGAGAGAGAGAGAGAGAGAGAAAGAAGAAGGAGAGAGAGAGAGAGAGAGAGAGAGAGAGAGAGAGAGAGAGAGAAAGAAAGAGAGAGAGAGTTTAAATTGTATGCTCTTTTAGCCCCTACTGTTGGCTTCTTACTTTATATAACCGGTAGAAGATGCCACGGCACAAAGATATAAAGATTTTCGCAAGTAGGAACATGAATGATACAGGTAATGCGGTGGACTCATGGGAACATGAGTATATATATATATACACACACACATTAGCCACGGGATTACCAATTGGCTCGCCGGTGGACGACTTCGTTACCAGTCGAGACAATATTTCGGTGCTGTCTCTCTTGATCGCATCAACACTGCAAGAGTATTTTTCAGGGTTTCTTGGTGGCAAGCAATGCTAAGGCGTTTAATATGGCGCACATAAACCTAGGGGAGTCGCCGTGGCCGAGCGGGTAGACGCTCGCCGCGGATCGGAAGGTCGTGGGTTCGCTCCCTGGTGCTGTTTAACTTTTAGTAAAGGAAGAAACGGAAGACTATTAAAATAATACTGTTCTGAATGGCAAATATATATTTCAATAATTTGGACATTTCAAATGTTTAAAAAAATAGTTCAAATGTTTTTTTTTTCCAAAGGCGTTGATTAGCCTCCTGTCAAAATTAATAATGGGGAGGGGGGATTCCTTAGCCTCTACCCCCCCCCCCTTTACCCCCTCTATTATTTTTAATGTTGGCTGGGAGTGATGGCACAAGTGCACTGAGCACTCATGTTCCAGCGCTCCTGGAAGAGCTACAACACTAGAGCATATTATCACTCCCTCCTCATTTGTGTGTGTCCCCACCCCCCCCCCACCCCGCCCCCCCCCTCCTCGACATCCCCTCGGCAGCCAGAGTCCCCACCAGACTGTCAAGCGACAAAGGGCACCCAGAAGGACATCAGTCTCGTGAAGACGTGTCTGCCTTCAGCTCATGAAATTGATACAGCAGACAGTTCCGGGGATTGAGAGAGAGAGAGAGAGAGAGAGAGAGAGAGAGAGAGAGAGAGAGAGAGAGCCACCGGATGTGGGCGTTTATAAATTTGGAGAGAAGTCTTGATTTATATTAGATACACAGAAACGAGTATGTTTGCTCTAAGTTAAATATTGGCCGAAAAACGTTTATGTTGTGAAACGGGCGTCAGTCTTCAACTGTGGTCTTGTAGGCTATTCATGGCAGAATTCAGTTCGGAGATTGTGAATGGCTTTTACATACTGCTAGTAGATATCGAAACGTTATATTTTCTTCTCTTTCATCTGGGCAGCTGAGTGGTCTCGAGGTATAGCGTCCACCTCGAGCGCTGGAGGTCCCCTGGTTCAAGCCCCGGTAAAGGCTGGGATTTTGTCACGTGGACTTCTAGCAATTTCCCCCGGGTCTTTGGGTAGTAAGATCGGACGCCTGTGTGTATTGTTGCGCACGTAACCAAACCCTTGGCAGTTGATAATATTAGCCTAACCACCCTGCCAGGATAAATTTAGAGTTAGAAATCTACCTAATGTATTTCAGGATCCACGCCGGTGCTACGGAGCTCTTGCACTCCGCTAAGATTCTTCGCACTTATCGGTTACTACTTTTGTGCCATGATGTTGATCCGTTGTATAAAGCAAGCTAGACCAAATCTCTTCCACCTTCATCTTTTTGCCACAAGGCTTGCTTTGTTCTTTTATACACATCTGGATCTTCGGTCTTGTTTCATGACCTCTTACATATACAACGGTATGACAGATATAAATTATTTGTGTGCAGGCTGTTGGTTTCTCGCCTCTCAGACAGATGTACTCCGGCTTTTTAAAAAAACCACACACACACACACACAGATATATATATATATATATATATATATATATATATATATATATATATATATATATATATGCATATGTATAAATAAACATATACAACTGGCTTATCTTAAATTTTATCACAATTGAAATTCTTCACCCTTTATATCATTGCTGAACCATTTATTTCCAACTAGTTTGTTACAAAGCTTGTTGTAATGGCCTCCAGTGGGTTCAGTTCATATCTTAGAGCAATAACGTTGATCTCATCAATGCATCTATTGTTGAAGTTGTCAAATAAGAGCGAGTTTTTAAAATCCTAATATTGTTAAAGAGAGAGAACTCTTTCTAAAACGTCTGAGGATGAAGCAATGCCAAACGATTTTTAGGCATACATTTAAATATTAATCGACAGGGATTTTTATGTTTAAATCTCTAAATACCAAACTGTGGGGCTAACAAAATTTGCTGGTGTTTTTTAATCATTAATTGGTTAATCTTGTGCTGTTTGGTTCCCTCCATTCGTTTTTTTATTTCTTCATAATCTTAGTACTTTAAAGGGCAGGGTAATGACAATACCGATGACATAACTGGCGACGGTCTTACTTCAGTAATACTTACTGTATCCAATGCACAATGCCAACCTTTGCAATATTGCTATAATGTTTCTAAAACGCACCAAAGCATCGGGCATGTTGCTAAAAGTACAGTTTTGCTCTACAAGGAACGATTAGTATCAAAGTACCAACTTCGGAAGCCCTGCTCTAAGGTGAACGGCAGATAAAAGAAATGCTGAAGAACTATTTTTTTTTACTGTCCTTTTTAGGACGAAGTTTTTCGTTATTTAAAGCCCCACCCTGGTTCTTGCCTCAATATAGCCAGGCCATAAATATGGCCAACTGGCTGAACGCGGTTTCTGGGACCTCTCCACGGTGATCCTCATCCCCATGGTGGCACTTTGTGTCATCGGATGTTTATCGCTTGTGTGATGTCCTGGTGGGGTAGAAAGTCAGTCAGTCAGACTAAAGAACCCAGAAGGACAGTAGAAATGAATGAACGACAATATTTTTTTTCTCCTAAGGGTTACAAATTGGGCACACAGGCCAATCTTACATTCTGTAAAACAATAAAGAAAAGAGATAAATGATGGAATGTAAACTGACATGGGATATCATAGACAGAACAGCAACTGACCAGCAAAAACGAAAATCACTTGTGAATGCTTTGACGGACCCTTCAAAATATCTTTGGCTGCCAAGTCGACTAAGTCTAGAGCTGGTACCAGATGCAGCCCTGGGTAGTATAGGTGACCGGCGTGATGCTGACCAGATCACACACCAAGAGCTGATTGGTCTATAAAATATAAATCTAGCCCTATGTGCCCAAAAAGCCATAAGGCGTAGAAATGTCATTTACTTACTTTAACTATCTCATTACAACTCAGAAAGTGTAATACACAGGTTCAACAGAGGGTTAAAAAGTGTCGAAATAGCAAACAGTTTGGGTCTAGAAGAGTTAAAGGACGAGTTTGTATTCGTAACCCAGCGAATTATTAAGAGTTAACTGATCTGATGGCAACGGCTTAATCACGTTGTGTCTTTTAGCTCACTTTTGCTGATACGTTGTTTACGAACCTCTCCCACTTGCCCCAGTACAGTTCTTGACCTCCCAACCCGTTTGAAATTCTAATATAGGCTTTGGTTGTCACTGCCACCCAATCATTTCATTTTTCATTGCACGCGCTGAGAAATTGCCTCTCAGTGTCAATATAATAAACTCCCCTGTTACTCCCAGGCACAGAAGAACCCTAAACATCTTGTCTATGCTAAACTCCCACCCCAGTTGCGTATATCTACCCTCTCGTGTCAAGATTTCAAGTAATTGATGATGGCAGAATGTTCGCGAGCTAAAAATACCATAATCGCGAAATTCTTGTCCAGTGTTTCTCAACTTGTTCTTCAATGGAGTCTCTGACAGCTGTTTCTTAAATTGTGAGTAAGTAAAGTAAAGGACCCCTTTCCACGCCTTAAGGCGTATAGGGCATATAGGGCTAGACCTCTATTGTTATAAACCCATCGGCACAAGATGGGTGATGTGGTCAGCATCACGCCGGTCGCCTCTGCTTCCTGGGATTCTTAAATTGTGCTGAAGGGTAAATAGGTCAATACACGGTTGGAGGAGAATGGCTCTGCGAGGAGTTACCAGGGGATCTGGCTGACGCTTAACACTCAAGGGAAGGGCGAGACGGATATACAATCAGACACTTACTACTGCCATCGGAATTGTAACTCTTCGTTTGCTGCTGAAGATGGGGACGGGGCGCTTCTATGGGGTGTCCCGAGTGTTATGATGTCGATTCCTTATTCAACATTCATTCAAGGTCTCCAATGGGCGCAGTGCGAAGGTTTCAGCATCACTGGGATGAAAAAAGTATCATCATATTTATTATCCGGAGCCGGATGGTCCAGCAGCTAGAAGCTAGAAGGTCGTGGGTTCGGGACCAGACATGATCCATCCTTTTTTTCCCAAAATGACCTTGACTCCCAGGTCGACCCAGCCTTGAGTGGTTACCAGGAAAGTAAAGGCGACTAGTGTGATGCTGACCACATCACCCACCGAGTGAGAATTGGTTTTTAAAATAATGGTCTAGCCCTATATGCCCTGTACGCCTAAAGGCGTGGAAAAGGGTCCTTATTTACATTCATTAACAAGTTAAGAGCGGGAACTGCGTAGGCGTGATGGCCGCCGTTATATTGCAGAATACTTGATGATCCAAAAAACTGCCGCTATTACTATTACTGCTGCTGCTGCTGCTACTGCTGCTGCTGCTACTGCTGCTGCTACTGCTACTGCTGCTGCTGCTGCTACTGCTGCTGCTACTGCTGCTACTGCTGCTGCTGCTACTGCTGCTGCTACTGGTGCTGCTGCTGCTACTGCTGCTGCTGCTTATCCCACAGCTGTTACTACTACTTTAGCTGTTGCTACTATTACTGTTGCCGCTTCTACTACTACCACTAAAATCTCTGCTACTACTGCTGCTATAACCACTACTGCGACTGCTGTAACACGAAATTGTTCAATAACTCCACTACAGTGATTTAATTTATAGATTATCATATTGTAACAAACTATTTCTCATGTGATCAACAGAAACCCCAATCTTCCTAGAAACCAGACGTCAGTGCATGGCGATAAAATCACAAACAGATTTGTGGATTTAAAATGGCCCAGGTATCTCAAAGACACACAGGAGTACCTACCTATAGGTAATTTGTATACGCATCATCATCATTATCATCAGCATCAACATCCTGTGTCCTACAAAAAAGCGTCGATTAGCATGTTTGGCCATGTCACGCGATCTTCATAATCACGCATCAGGGCAGTGTTCTTGTTTTGCCCCATTAGTATATCCAATCCATCGATTATATGTCTGTTTCTATTTTACTTGTTTTCCGTGGAATCTTGCTAGTCGTTACCAAGTTCCCGAGTCTATTCATTCTCTTAAACTGCTCAAAAAAACAGTGACTGTCTTTTTTTCTCTTGTCAATTTGGTGCTTTCGTCTGGGAAAAGCAGCTAGCCTAACTGTTACTTCTATGTTGGAGGCCACTTAACCACATTCAATCATGAAAGATTTTTTTTTTTTTTTTTACATTTTAACAAATAAATGTTGAGTCGGAAGCAGATAAAATTTTAACATAGACAGAAGCAATATAAAAAGCAATTGAGTTGGAAGGAAATAATGGTAAAAGAGCAGCAGTAGTAGTAGTCGCAGCAGCAGCAGCAGTAGCAGTAATAATCGCACTAGTAATGTATTTGTTGTTGTAGGCGTAGAAGAAGTAAAAGTAGTAGTACTGTAAATAATAATAATGGTATTAGTAGTAGTAGAAGTAGTATTATTATCATTAGTAGTAGTAGTAGAAGAAGTAGTAGTGGTGGTGGTGGTAGTAGCCGTAGTCGTAGTAGTGGTAGTAGTAGTAGTAGTAGTAGTAGTAGTAGTAGTAGCAGCAGCAGCAGCAGCAGCAGCAGCAGCAGCAGCAGTAGTAGTAGTAGTAGTAGTAGTAGTAGTAGTAGTAGTAGTAGTAGTAGTAGTAGTAGTAGTAGTAGTAGTAGTAGTAGAATTAGAAGAAGTAGTATTAGTAGTAGTAGTAGTAGTTATAGTAGTAGAAGTAGTAGTAGTAGTAGTAGTAGTAGTAGTAGTAGTAGTAGTAGTAGTAGTGGTGTTGGAAGTAGTAGTAGTAGTAGTAGTAGCAGCAGCAGTAGTAGTAGCAGCAGCAGTAGTAGTAGTAGGAGCAGCAGCAGTAGTAGAAGTAGCAGCAGCAGTAGTAGTAGTAGCAGCAGCAGTAGTAGTAGTAGCAGCAGCAGCAGTAGTTGTTGTAGCAGCAGTAGTAGTAGTAGTAGCAGCAGCAGTAGTAGAAGTAGCAGCTGCAGTAGTAGTAGTAGTAGCAGCAGCAGTAGTAGTTGTAGCAGCAGCAGCAGTAGTAGCAGCAGCAGCAGTAGTAGTAGTAGTAGTAGTAGTAGTAGTAGTAGTAGTAGTAGTAGTAGTAGTAGTAGTAGTAGTAGTAGTATTCAGTATAGTGATACCAAGAACGATGACAAATGAAGCCCAGCCTTCTGATTTCCCTCAGTCCGCACTTCAGCCGGCCATCCGCCAATGGACCATATATGTTCATATTTAGCCAGCATCTGAATTAAGCATGCCATCATAGAGGGGCTAATCGTATATCTAGGATCATGCATGCATGATACGCACCCATTAATAAGATACGTTCGTTAATCACTATACCTCCGTTAACATCATCTGGGGAATGAAGTCTTTTCCCAAGCTGCAATAAATAACTCTAATTATTTACCCATGGATGATCTTCCTAACGGAGTGTGACCTGGGAAGTCCCTCCTCTGAGCACTCAATTGAATAGATCGACCACTACATAAAGCAGACTAGAGAGATAGAGAGAAACTCATTCTTTCAGTGTCGTCTTTTGCTTATGTTTGTAACGTAAGGTGGGAGCTGCGTGGTCTCGAGACATTGCGTCTGCCCCGAGTGCTGGATGTCCCAAGTTCAAGCCCCGGTGAAGGCTAGGATTTGTTAACGTGGTCTTCTAGTAATTTCCCCTAGTCTCTGGGTGGTAAGATCGGATGCCCGTGTGTATTGTTGCGCTCGTTTAAAAAAAATTCCTCTGCAGTTTGAAATCGAAAAAAGTAGCCTAACGACTCTGCCCAGGCTAAATTTTGAGTTTAAAATCTACCTAAAATATTTCAGGATCCTCGTCAGTGCTACTGAGTACGTGCACTGGGCAGAGATTCTTCGGACTTATGGGTTACTACCGTTTTGCCACAACGTTGATCCGTCGTCTAACCCTAAATGTAACATATGGCATGCAGTCTGTTTCACCATTCCCTTCTACCCCGTGCAATCACTTTGATATCATGGATAGAATCCAGTAATCTGCGTTCACTTTAGGGTTTTCTCTTAAACGTCCTCATTTCTTCAAGCCCCAATTTCCCATTGCAATGCCTGTTTAGCATTCTTTAATAGCGTCTTTTGAGAATGTGTCCAGTAGTGTGCCATCTTCATTGTCCTACAACTGTGAATACAAGTGATTGACCAGAAATGTCTCTTATTTCTTCCCCTCTCTTAAATTCATCGCATTTTATGTATAGAAATACCACATTAAAAATGTCTATTGTTAGCTGTTATATATACAGTCTACACTTCTTTATGGCACATACCATGGACAGTGAGCCAGTAATTAGAAAGGTCCATTAAGGAGCACTTATGGGTTAACACTCGTGTGTCATGATGTTGATCCGTTGTTCAAACCGCAAACCTCTATAATAATCAATATGAAGAACAAAACCCACTGTCTCCTCAGTAAGCATGTCGTAGGAGTCGACTAATTACAGTTTTCTTCGAAGTCGGAGTTCATCTGCCAGAGCGGCAAAGAACACACAATTGTGCTCAAATAAGCCAGTAAAATGGATGTACACATACAATTTAGGCACTGGCACTAAGCGAAAGTCCGAATGGATGAACAACCAGGTCTTTTCGCCAGAGCTTACAGCCGGTGAACACAGAAGAAGTCGGTATATGATGCCTTTTGATCACTCCTCCCGCACAGGCCCTTGATACGTTGTGATTGGATTCACAGCAATGTTTTGCTAATATGCGACATCATATCCTATATCAGTAAACCTCGAACTAGTTGTCTTTTATGGCATGCTTGTTAGGGGTCAATGTATGTGTTGTTTTAACCTAAAATAGGGTTAGTGCCCCACATAGGGAGATCGTCTGCCGACTTGCCTTGCCGATTACCTTTCTTTTTGACGTGCCAATCCATAAGCCGGTGGCCGTTCGTTGACAAAAAGTAAACACTAAAAGTAAAGTACCCTTGTCCACGACTCCAAGCATATTAGGCAAATAGGGCTAGACCTATATTTTATAGACCAATCGGCACTGTGTGGGTAATGTAGCCTTTACTTCCAGGGACTTTTAACTGTTATTTATTTTAAAAAAAGGGTCACTACAAAAAAAAATTTTTTATTAACAGAGTTAGAGCAATTATTTTACAATGGCCATTTGTAGGGATACATGTTATTACATTTGCATGCTTTAGGTGTTAAAAAAATCTGGTTGTTATGGCAATAGCCCCATCTTATGAAAAAATAACATATACTTAAAATCCTAAAATTTCAAAAACAAACACATGTTTTGAACAATAGATGATAGATTCATGACCTTTAATCCCATTTAAACATGTTTTTAAATATTTTTCGTAGAATTTTAAAATTGAGATTTATTGAAAAAAGCCACACACAAAATCTAGCATCATAAGACAATAATCGAATTTTTTTAAAAACACAAAAACTTTCTAAAATCTACATTTAAATAAACTAGTCCCTGTAATATTGTTTAAGGAGTATCCATACAAAATTTCATGTTTCTAGTCTTTATTTTAGTTGAGATTTTAGGATTTCACACACACAACAAACAGAAATATAGAGATGTGAGAAAACTGACTTTTAAACCTTTTTAATCTTATAAAAGGTCATGGGTTGGTGTCTTTAGTATTAACTTTTCAATGCTAAACTGTTTACAAATGACATAAATTTGGTGTGTAATCTATTCTACGAATGCCGAACTTTACAAAAACGAACACATTGAAAAAGTGATGTTTTTGTCATAAATTGGGAAAAAAATGGCGTGTCGTGACCCCTGAAAGGCAGAATATACCTGTGAGCCAAGGTCATTTTTTTTTTTTTTAATTTTCATTTTAAGCTTGTTTGACAAAACGCTGACATAATTCTTTACTCGCTGTCTTCGTCTATATGTTGTAGGTTTTAATCTTTTCCTAATGGGGCTAACAAGTGAAGAGTACCTGTTTCCGATGTTTGTAATGAACCCTCCTCCCTTCCCCCCTCCCCCAATTTCCTTCTGGAACCCTTTCTTTAACTCTTTCAAACTGTCTTTAGTATTAACTTTTCAAATTGTTTACAAATGACATAAATTTTGTGTGTAATCTATTCTACGAATGCCGAACTTTACAAAAACGAACACATTGAAAAAAGTGACTTGAAAAAGTGACACTGAAAAAGTGACATTCAGACTTCTAATACTCAAGTTTTTTTCAACATGCTTTTTGTAAAACACATATACGGAGCCTCAGTAGATGTTTTAGTTTGTTTCCTGATGAGCTTATTATCTAGTATTCCATACCGCTTGTTAAACTTGGTTATATGTAACACATTTTCTTTCTTTTTTTTTCTTCTTATTATGTGTAACCTACAACTGATATAAATCTGTATTGCCAAAGATAACCTTCATTTCTTTTTGATGTAATATAGATTTTAGTTGTTCTATGCATATGCCAAATGTATACTGATATATATGCCAAAAATGTAGGACTCAGAAATGCCGATTACGAGTTTAAACATTCAAAATAAGATTTTACCATAGAAAAACTATGATACAGAAGTAGTTCTTGCAGTAACACTATCAGTAGCAGGGTTATTAGTCGCAAGAGCTGAGGTATATAGAGTAGCAGCAGCATCAGTAGTAGTAGTTGTTGTTTTAGCAGTAGCAATAGTTGTAGCAGCAGCAATAGTAGCAGTAATAGCGGTAGTATCAGCAGCAATAGTAGCGATAACCGTCGCTGTAGTATTAGCAGCAGTGGCTGTAGTTTCAGCAACAGTGGATGTAGTATCAATGGTAGTAGGAGTTGTTGTAGCAGCAGCAATAACAACATCAGCAGTAGTTGCAGCAGCAGCATCAGCAGGTATAGTTGTAATCGCAGTAGCTGTAGTATCAGCAGGAGGGGTACTAGTAGTTGTAGTAGTGGATGTAGCGGCGTTAGTGATAGTAGTACTGGTGGTGGTGGTGGTGGTAGTGGTGACATTCTCAGTAGTAGTGGTAGTAGTAGTAGTAGTAGTAGTAGTAGTATTAGTAGTAGTAGTAGTAGTAGTAGTAGTAGTAGTAGTAGTAGTAGTAGTAGTAGTAGTAGTAGTAGTAGTAGTAGTAGTAGTAGTAGTAGTAGTAGTAGTAGTAGTAGTAGTAGTAACATGATTATTCGTTATATATTTATACGATTACAGTTAGAAGCAGCAGCAGCAGTAGTAGTAGTAGTAGTAGTAGTAGTAGTAGTAGTAGTAGTAGTAGTAGTAGTAGTAGTAGTAGTAGTAGTAGTAGTAGTAGTAGTAGTAGTAGTAGTAATAGTAGTAGTAGTAGTACTAGTAGTAGAAGTAGTAGTAGTAGTAACAAAATTATTCATTATATTTTTATACCATTACAGTTAACGATAATACATCCTTAGAATAGGACTAGCTGTACCCAGCCACGCGTTGCTGTGGCCGAGAATGGTGAAATGGAGAGGAAAGAAAATAGCTCTCATCTAACAGTGTCTGTCATATCCCCCACCCCCCTGGACCCAGTCATATCTCCCTCGCCAAAGGATTGAAAAATCATCTATGGAGAAATTATTTAAAAAGAAATTGTTAAGAAATGAGAACTTTAAAATAATATTTTAAGCTCTCCCAGCTAACTATGTCTGGCATAACCAACCCTCTCTCCCCCCCCCCCCCACCACTCCCATCCACCAATCATATCTCCCTTTCCGAAGGATTAAAAAATCATCAGCTGGCGAAGTCATATCTCCCTCTCCGGGGCATTGAAAAGTCATCCATAGCAAAATTTATAAATTGAAATAGTTAAGAAATTAGAACATTAAAATAATATGTTTAGCTCTCTCAGCTAACTATGTCTGGCATACCCCCCCCCCCCAACCCCCTTTCCACCAATCATGTCTACCTCTCCGAAGGATTTAAAAATCATCACCTGGCAAAATTATTAAAAAAGAAAAATAGAAATGAGAACTTTAAAATAATATTTTAAACTCTCTTAGCTAACTGTGTCTGGCATACATCACAACAGCCAATGATGGAACCCACAGTAAAAAGTACACTATACTCACAAATAGCGGAGAAAAATACCCTGCACCTGTCATATCTCCCTCTTCGAAGGAACGATTTTTAACTGACCTTGGCATCCGTGTCCACCCAAATAGACAACCACAAACTCGGAAAATTAACATTTTTATTAATATAGATTACCTTATAGCTAGACTGCTGGGGGATAAATTAAAGATTATTAAGCACCATGTGACAAGAATTAATTAACACGATTAGACCTATCATAGTTATGTTAATGACAAAATAATAAAATATAGAATTATTGTTAAACTGAATTAAAGTGTGCATTCCTTAAAAATATATATGCTCTTAGGCATGAAACTTTGAATTTTATGATAAATAAATAATTTTCTTAAAAAATCTTAATATGACTTTATTTTATTGCACTGTTTAGTATCATTATTCAAATGCCGTCTTCACACTGAAAGTTGGCTGCAGTTGATCTACAACACACTATATCTTTTGACTTCGTTGCAGACTTTCTCCGACTGCTTTTCGTCCATCTCTTGATTTTTTGGTTCCACTTGTATCGTTGACTCACTCTTGTTTTCTTGTCCTCGACGTTTCCGTCCGGTATATTTTTTTTAACCCGTATTATATCCTTTAATGATGCCAAAGTATTTAAGATGTCTTTTTCCAGTAATTCTCTTTTCCTCCACAGTCTTTCCAGAACCTAGGTATTAGATTTGGTCCCTGTGAAATACGACCTATTCTTTTCTATACTCTCATGCCCAGAGACTCAATTGGATTTTCCAGCTGCTTGATCATTGTTCACGTTTCTGCAACCTACAGCACGTATGCTGTAACTTTATCTTTACTTATTGAATAAGAACAGTTACGGAACTGCAGTTGAACCTATAAACAATTCAAATCTGACCACATTAATACTACAGAATTAACTACAGAAAAACGTACCAACAATATGTGACTAGAACACTACTTTAAACTCAGTAATATTCATGCCATGTTCAATATTATTCAGATACCATGTTACCTGTCTGTACTATTGACATGGATTTTAACTATACAAATACAAGGCATCTGTTCTTGGCAGTACTATATTTAACTTACACATATACTGTAAAACCAATGCTAGTACTACGTACATAAATTATAGAAATATCACAAAACCTGAATGCACTTATATAATAACATTTAAATGTAATAATATATTGTAACACAAATGTATATATGTAAATTCTACAATATTAAACTTTACTAACAATATAAACTAATCAATACTAACACTTCATCCGTGCTATTTAATACCTGAGTGCACTTATAGAATAACATTTAAATATATTGTAACACAAATTTATGTATGTAAATACTACACTATTTAACTTCACTTACACTATAAAATAACCAATACTAACACTTCATCCGTGCTATTTAATACCTGACTGCACTTATACAATAACATTTAAATATATTGTAACACAGATGTATGTATGTAAATACTACAATATTTAACTTCACTTACACTATAAAATAACCAATACTAACACTTCATCCGTGCTATTTAATACCTGACTGCACTTATACAATAACATTTAAATATATTGTAACAGAAATTTATGTATGTAAATACTACAATATTTAACTTCACTTACACTATAAAATAACCAATACTAATACTTTATCCGTGCTATCACACAACTGGACTTTTTATCATTAACAGATTTGTACCCCTTCCCAGGCAGAAGACCTACAGTGCGCCATCACTACAGAGCACAAAAGCTGGCGCTATGGTTAGATCTGATTCCTAAAATCAACAGGGACGACGGTTCGGACCCGGCGTTTCACCTACTGGACAACTACAACAACGCATCCACTTTTGATGACTTTCAACGCCTGATCTTGGATAACACCTACTCTTCGTCATCTTCACTCCGACCTGGAAGGCCAGTTATCCCTTATTACCTTGATAGTACAACGCAGAATCCTTATTACGGTGAAGTGACCGAGGATGAGAAAGGAGATAAAACAGATGGTCTGCAAAAGCATGGCCTTCACAACGGGTTATTGTTTAACAATGGAAGTATTCACTGCCATTCCGTTGACGACACCAGATACCATCAAACGGTGGAGACTCCAAACGCTGCTGGCAAAGGGGATATAACTTCAGGTGTGCCGTTAAGCATCGTTATAGCCATTGGCGGTTCACTTCTGCTGATTAATATCCTCATTTTTGCTGGGTTGTGTTATCAAAGGGAGCGAATGCGAAAAATGCGTGAAGCTAGCAAGCCATTACCTCCCAGTGAGCTGGATTTTGAAGAAGCCAGATTTAGAAAATTGGACTCCAATCGAAGTTCTCCTTGTCCGACGGGTATAGCAAGCACTGGGGGTGAGTGTTTGAGTTTGATGTCAGGGGCATCCAGCCACAAACACGCCTCGCCTGTAAAACAACACGTGAACTCACACGTACATATGCCTAGTCCTCAGCCTAGCTTGCACAGCAGGAGGGGACATTCCCAATCCAGGGCGACAACGCCTATGGAAAGTGTCTCTTGCAGCTATAGTCCAGTGCCGACTCACGCATCCTCTCCTGTTCATAGGACACACACGGGCGTATCTCAGAGTGGGGTTACGCTAGGTCACAGAGGGGAGGCTAATTTCACCAACAAAATTCGCGCCCCTTCAGACGTTACTCACAAATCCAGTGACAGTGGTGGAGGAGGAGGTCATGTGTTAGGGGGTGGGGGTGTGAGCACATTCGGAATCGGCCATCAGGCTGGGGGAAGCCATGTTGGGACCCCTTCGGGTACTCCTAGCGGAAGTAGTAGTGGTGTCACGGGTAGCGTAAACACCCCTGTCAGCGGTGGTCCGACGGACAGCACTACGGAACCTGTGTACAAAACGATCAACAAATCCGGCCAAAATAATGCTGTAACCGTTGTTTAGCAGCTAAATAGATGACAGCAATAAAGCCAATGATTTTTCACTTGGATGACACTGTTATCACTGTCATTACTCTATCTTATCATTAACGATTTATTAGTGCCATAATGTTACATCTGAAGGTTAGAAATGATTAATTATGACATTACAAAGTGCTAATTTTCATACGGTGAACTTTTATACTTGAACTGTAAACATATTGTTATTTTTATAACAATGAGTATGTTAAGCATTGAAATCATACTTCATATTGTTACATTTCTCGTGTTTTTCGCATTTTTCTTCTAATTTACTGGGTTTTTTTTATCTTTCCTGTCCTCTTTCCTGTCCTTGTCTTTTCTGAGACGCCTTCCGTTCTTTTAACCTGCTGTACTTTGTTGATTAGGTTATTCATATAATTTATTTCGTAGAATAGGTATTATTTAATTTTTTGTTCCTGAAAAATGTATATATTTATTTACTTCCACTTGCCATTCTAATATAAAACTGATTAAGGGCATAGGATGATGATGATGATGATGATGACATTGATTTTGATGATGATGATGATGACATTGATGATGATGATGATGATGACATTGATGATGATAATGATGATGATGATGATGATGATGATGATGATGATGACATTGATGATGATGATGATGACATTGAGGATGATGATGATGATGCTGATGATGAGGATGATGATGATGATGATGATGATGATGGTGATGATGATGACATTGATGATGATAATGATGATGATGATGATGGTGGTGGTGGTGGTGGTGTGATGACGATGACATCGCTAATAAAATGTGTGATCAAATTCCAGATCCGTCAATACGATTTGAGAACCGCGGTGGCAAAGTGGTTGGTGGGCTAGGCCTGCCGAGACTAAGGTCGGAGTTCAATCCTGGGAAATGATCGGCATTTTCCCAATTCAGTCTCTCAAAAAATTTTATTCCTTGCCGTTTGTACAATGAACGTTGGCTACAGTGAACCATAGCTGCCTTTAAGAATACTTCATGGTGAGATCCTAAACTCTTCCACGGTGTGACTCACGTACCATTGTCAGTAATCCACGAAAACGAATATTTTTTTAACTGTACACCTCGTTGAGCGAACCGTAGGACTTGAGGACTGCGAAATTGTTAAACGCATTCACTAACTCTAAGCCACAGAGCGACACTGAGAAAAATTGTTTTTATATAAATTCCATTCCCCGCCAAGCCCTTCTATGGACACCGAAACGGACAAGAAAACGGGAAAGACCAAGAGAGACCCTGGTTAAAACCATCATCAGGAAAGGTTCAACCATGAGCCTAATGAATACCCAAGATCTACAACTGGTGGCAACGAACTGCCAGACACGGCGAGCTATGACCCTTATGCGCCGCCCTAGACCCGGAGACTTAAGAAGAAAGACTAACTAATACAAATTCCACAGTTGTATGGGAAACAAAAGCGAAACAAAGCAAAAAGAAGGTGGAGGAGGGGGAGGTGGATTGAAACAAATGAGTGAACTGCCGTAAAAGTTATAAAAATAGGAAAAAAATATGTCATTTGATATCCGTGATAACTTTGAACAGTCTAGTTCTATCTTTCGTTAGGCTTGATATCTTTTTATTGTTTGTTTTAGTATCCAGAAGCCATGAGTTGTTAACCCTTAGGCTGGGTATTACGGATATCGCAACCTTTCGGCCTTGATTCCATTGTAAATACCGTAAATCTGGGAGAAAATGTGGCTTTCCTGCCTACGCCCGGGATTGAACCCGGACCACAAGGAGTACGTCACCCGGTCTCCGCGAAATCCGGTTTAGCCAATTCCGCTAGAGTGCCGGGCATATCTTTTTATTAAATGGACACGAGATGACAAGAAAAAGAACCGGCCACCTCACATCATAAGTCAAGACCTAGAATGTGTGGCGGTCGAACACTTGACAACCCAAGTGCAGTGTCTGTTAGTGATTACCATTTTGATTTGCTAATTCCAACTTTTCGTCGAATTACGTACGACACACGCTACTTAACACCATCCGCACTTACGGCCAGAATGAGTTAAATAAATTAAAATAGTAAATGATGAAAATTAAGACAAGTTGGGAGGCAACCGAGATATGTTTCGTCATAAAGATGTTGCGAATACCTTGGATAGCCAGAATAACTAACAATGATTTCCTGAACATGGCTAATGAAAGTAGAACATTATGTGCAACAATGAGAAGGAGACAAACAAAGTTCTTTGGTCATGTGAAGAGAAAAGGAGCATTGGAAAATATCGTGACAACTGGAAAGATTAAAGACAGACGAGATAGAGGCAATATAAAGACAATATGGTGGATGGCTTAAAGCAGTGGCATGGAGGAATATCATCGATGGAATTGATTCATCCAGAACACCAAAGACCTGAGATGTGTGGGGATGCATGAGTTCCTGACCCAGCTGCATGGCACTTGATGAAATAAGAAAGATAACTAGATTGGGAAGGTAAAAAAAGTTGCCGGAACTGCTACATAAAGCGCAGCAGGGACTAATTAATTATACGTACATAAGGTTAGTTGCGTATCCTTTACAGGACGTTGCAAAACCAACCCCGTTGGTTTTTCTAATCAAATATACGTCCAGTAGTTTGCCATTGCTCTCTGGACGGTCGGCTTTCTTGATACCGCTGTCGAAAATAACGCAAGGCGCATAGCCCGCATTTGGGATCGAACCCGGCATCCTGGCATTACGAAGCGTTCGCATCGACTTAGCCACAGAGCCGACAATTATACGTACATAGATATTAAAATTCCCTTGGCTCCCGGGTCGACCCAGCCATAAGTGAGTACCAGGTGCAGTCCTGGGAAGTGAAGGCGGTCGGCACGATGCTGACCACATAACCCACCAAGTGCCGATTATTCTACCAAAATGTAGGTCTAGCCCCATATGCCCTATAAGCCTAAAGGCGTGTTAAGGGTCCTTTAATTCTTTTTGTAACTTTTACATAGATATTGAATGCATGTGTTTTATGTATATTATTTAAACACGTTTGAATGCAAATAGTGTGGAAAACGATTAATTCGACTCACGAATTGTTAATTGGAACGGGACGTAAGTGGAGGAAACCGTGTAGTATATATAATTCAGTTCTTCTTCTTCTTCTTTCGTTCGCCTGAAATAAGTTATCTATATCAGCAGTTTTGTCTCTTGTATAAATTTCACTGTCGTTGTTAGTTCATTCAGTGGTCCATACAGTTTACGTTCCACTGTTGTTCTTTCTGGCCAAAAGGTTTGCCTTAATGTGTCAAAATCGGTGCAGTCCTGGAGTACATGCTCTCCGGTCTGGGGCACATTTCCACAGGTGCACATGGCTGATACACCTATCTTGAATTTTGTGTACATGTGGTTACGTAATCGGTTGTGCCCTGTTCTGAGGCGGAAGATAATGACTTGTTCTGGTCTGTCCATAATAAAATAGTCGTCTTGTGCTGGGGCTGGTGGTTTCCTGATCGATTTAATTATTCTTTTCTTTTGGTGGTATGTGACTGGTACATCTGGCTGCTCTTTTTTCGCACCTTCCCCTGCCAGTTGATCAGCTTTCTCATTTCCAGGCACTCCACAATGAGACGGTATCCACTGCATTATGACTCTTCGCTGAGCGCTGAGTTGTGTCAGCAGTGTTTGCAATTCTGGTAGTTTCCTAAACTGGAGTGCTTCAAGTACTGATTTAGCATCTGTGAGCATTACCACATACTGTAAGCCAAGGTTGGTATTTAGCAGTTTCTCTGTAGCTATCTTAATAGCCTGGGTTTCTGCATCATAGTTATGGCAGTACTTCCCGGTTGGTACGCTGGACTTATCCCTAGTACCATCTGGGAATTCGATGTACACTCCAGCACCACCATTTCTAACTGCACTTTCTGCGGACCCATCTGTATAGACTCTGACCCATTGTTTTTGTGGGTATTCTTCATCAATATAACTGAGGGTGGCCATTCTGCGTTGTACACTATCTTGCTCTTTCTTGTCAAATATCCCTTTCACATTTGTCTGGATTTGTACCGTTAGTTTATATTTTTCTCTCCATGGGGTTTGTTCCGGAATACTTTTAAGTTGGCAGCCAATTTCTGGAAGGTCAGGAGTTTGTCTACATATTCTTTTTGCTTGGTGTATAAAGCTGCTTCTTTTTAACCGTCCCAAGGCTAGGTTCTTAAATCTATTTTCCATCGGGTGATCTGGCATACTGAGGAACTTTTCAGCTTGTATTTGCAACTTTATATCTCTGCGTTCTCTCAGTGCCTGTGTTTTCCCAGCTTTCTCCATTTCTAATATGGGAGTTGATTTCATCCCTCTTGTGATGACTCTGAGCGCTTGATTTTGCACTTTGTCTAACTCCTTTAATGTAGTACTAGATGCTGAACACCATGCAGTTGACCCATATTCCAAGTGTGGAAGTATGCTCTGCTTGTACACTTTATTGAGTATTTTCCCATCTGCTCCCCATGTGGTTCCACTTAGTTTTCTTAGAATTGCTGTCTTCCTCCTGGCTTTGGTTGCTGCCTTGTTGATATGTTTTCTCCATGTCGACCTGTCATCAAATGTGACTCCTAGGTATGTGGGCTCTTTATCATTTCTCAGGGGTATTTCGTTTATTTTGATGGTGCCGGCTTTTTGCTTTGGGGAGAGGGTGAATAGTGTGGTGCTACATTTGTCTGTGTTGATGCTGACACACCATCTATTGGCCCATGCCTCAAGTGCATTTGTAGCCCGCTGTAGTGTTTTTGTGGCTATCGTTGCATGTTCATTGGTGCACCACAGTACCAGGTCGTCGGCGTACATTGCCATTTTGATTCCATTTGGTATCTCAGCAACCAGATCGTTGATAAATAAAAGGAAAAGTGTGGGCGACAGGACACCACCTTGAGGGACGCCTTGTCGCAGTAGAACTTTTTTACTTTTAAAACCATCAACCTGTACCCGGGCTCTTCTGTTATGTAGATATGCTTTAACCCAATTGTATATTTTCCCATTTATTT